GGTGGGCTATGGTCCATGGGGTCGCAAAGAGTCAGACGAGAATGAAGTGACTTTAGCACACACACACACTACTCTCACTAGATAAAAGACATAAATCTATTTGAAGAACAAATTATAAAAACTGACCTAATAGTTCACTCAATAACTGCAGAATCCACTTGTCTCCCCTCCACACAAAATATTTATAAAAATTAAAAATATAGACCACTTCATGAATTTGCATGTATCCTTGCTTAGTTAAGTTGCTCAGTCGTGTCCGACTCTGCAACCCAATGGACCGCAGCATGCCAGGCTTCCCTGTCCATCACCAACTCCCAAAGCTTGCTTAAACTCATGTCCATCAGGTCGGTGGTGCCATCCAACCATCTCATCCTGTCGTCCCCTTCTCCTCCTGCCTTCAATCTTGTCCAGCATCAGGGTCTTTTCAAATGAGTCAGTTCTTCGCATCAGATGGTCAAAGTATTGGAGTTTCAGCTTCAGCGTCAGTCCTTCCAATGAATATTCAGGACTGATCTCCTTTAGGATGGACTGGTTGGATCTCCTTGCAACCCAGGGGACTCTCAAGAGTCTTCTCAACCACCACAGTTCAAAAGCGTCAGTTCTTCAGTGCTCAGCTTTCTTTACAGTCCAACTCATATCCATACCTGACTACTGGAAAAACCATAGCTGGTACTAGACGGACCTTTGCTGGCAAAGTAATGTCTGCTTTTTAATATACTGTCTAGGTTGGTCATAACTCTTCTTCCAAGGAGCAAGCGTCTTTTAATTTCATGGCTGCAGTCACCATCTGCAGTGATTTTGGAGCCCCCCAAAATAAAGTCTGTCACTCTTTCCACTGTTTCCCCATCTATTTGCCATGAAATGATGGGACCAGATGCCATGATCTTAGTTTTCTGAATGATGAGTTTTAAGCCAACTTTTTCACTCTCCTGTTTCATCAAGAGGCTCTTTAGTTTTTCTTCACTTTCTGCCGTAAGGTTGGTGTCATCTGCATATCTGAGGTTATTGCCATACTCCTAATTTATTCCTCACCTGCTCCCTTTCCCATTTGGTAACTGTAAGTTTGTTTCCTGTGTCTGTGAGTCTGTTTTTGCTTTGTATTGCAGTTCATTTTCATTATTTTTTACATTCTACATATAAGTGATACTGTATTTTTCTCTTGAATCAGTTCTTGAACTTTATATTGCTCTAGAGAATTACCCATTTCAATTTTTAATTTACAGGTAGACTTTTAATATAAATGGTCTCCTATAATTAGAAAAATAATTTTATATCTGATAGTTTGTATTGTCCTTTTTCAAAATTCAAATTTGACAAAAACATGTCTAATTCATTATTGATTGAATCTATTCTTTTTTGTGGGGTTTACTAATTCCTTCTGCTTTTTTTGGTAATTATTTTGTTTTACTAAACAAATTGTTTAGTAAATTAGATTTTCTTGGCTAAACATTTTTCTCTGAATGGCCTTTGGCTCGAATCCCCCAGGCTTTGTACAATACTCTTACCATGATTTAAGTTAGTGCAAATAGCTTAATCCAGAGTAATTTTTTTTTTTACCTAGGAGCTATTAAGAATGAACGGTATTTTAAAAGACTCCTAAGATATATTTCTAGTAATAGATAAACTTCTAAGGAATATTTTTGGTCTCCTTTTCTAATTCTATTCAGTGAATCCTACTGCAGTCCATTCAATGAATGTGCCCTGTATGATTTCAGAACTGAATTTCAAAGAAGTTGGGGCAGGGAGGGCTCCCAAATATCACTCCCCTCCTCTGGGTGATCCACATGCTTTCCTCCCAACCTTTGCTGTAAAAAGGGTCCACCAGATGTTGAGACCTTCTGGCTTTTCAAGGCTTCTCATGAAAGGCCTGAGTGAGACTGAGGAGTTGGCAGTTGTAATGGGAATTCTCTAACTCTGTAACTCATAGTGGTAACTTCACCCTCCCTTCAGTTTCTCCCTACTTCCAAAGCTCTGCCCATCATGTAGGTGAGTCCTTTCCAGCACTGCACTTGCCACTCCTTGTTCAAGAATTTATGATGATTTCCTGTTGTTAACCACAGCAGTGCTTCAAGGACCTCATTCTTTGAAGTGTTCATTAAACACAACTGTAAGAAAACATGGCAGCTGATGCCATGGCCTCAACCCCAACTTCCCAGGTCCACCTACTCATCCTAGTGTAAGTCTATCCATTTCTCCTTTTCCTTCCTAGCCCAAGGCACTGCATCCTGTGCTGTGCTTCTCACCTGTTTATATTTGAATTCTTGATTTCTGTCTAAATTTAAAGCTGTTGAGGTATAAACTAATTTTTTCTCAGCCTTACTCTTTCCAAACAATAAATAGGATACAATGCTTTCTCAGCATCATTTGATCATGGAATGGTTTGTGGTATATTTTTTCTCCACTGTTTACCAATCTTTCCATAAACCCTGACCATGACTTAGGTTCTGGGTTCACAGTAACGGCCCAGTCCTGAACTTTTAATGAGAACCTCCTACTCAACTGCATGGGCCCCAGCACTACTCCTAAAATGTCTGTCAAGGTGCGAGAATCACAATCTTCTCAGGCAGCCATTAACTAGCCTAGGAAGTTTGATGGTTCTGTCCACTAGGAGTTATCACGTAGACCCTGAAGGCTAAATTCTGTGACTGGTATCAAGACCTGGGTGAGACCCTCTGGTCTGATTTCTACATACCTACTGCTTTGAGAGGAGATTTCTGCTTAACTTTGTTGCACAGGCAGATGCTGGAGGGATTGTTTTAGAAGGCCAATGGGCATTTTTCTCCATTAAATGCTCTCCTTGCTAGAATAAGCCAAATTGGCAGAAATTACTGAGGAGGGATACTGTGGCTTCCTTTAGGTCACATCAGTCACAGAAAGCTTTTCCACACTGGGCTATTACTACAGCTCAGCTCTCAAAGCAAGTAGATACCCAGAAATGATCCAGAGCAACTCCTTAACCACTCAGCAAAACATTAATATATTGGCAGAGCACTCCTCTGACAGAGTATAACCCCAGCATAAAGGGTTCCTGAATCACTCACTCAGTGAAAATGGTACAAGGGATGGGCATGAGGAATGGTAGAAACCAAAAACCTCGGTGCCTTCTGAGTCTCTTACTATGCTTTTCTAGGTGTGTGTGTGAAGACAGAGTTCTCTACCACATTGCCTTTCATTTCTTTGTGTTGCTTCCATCCTGGTATCCATTCACCAACAGGCCAAAGCTACTAATACCTCCATTAGTACCAAGGGGGAAAAAAAAAAAAAGACTAAATGTACCAAGAAAAAAATTAAAATGCTATAGTTTCCTACTCATGTCTTCTTCCAGTATTCTTCCTACTTCCTAGTGCTTTATCTGCTAACTTGAATCAAGATCTCATTTGCAGAACAAGAGCTCTAAGTCAAATATTTTGAGGTGGTACATAGGCAAATAAAAAACAAAACCCAACTGTAACAGAGGGCACTGAATATTCACTGCCCCTGCACGTCACATATATTCTCCTTTAACCCTCACAATTTTAGGAGGTGGGTATTTTATCCCTTGCCTACACAAGAGGAAACTAAGGCTTAAAAGATGAAAATGCCTGTCTAAAAATGTAGAACTAAGGGAACCTGGGCAGTCCAGTTCTAGAGTTCAAACACTGAACCATTTACACTCTTATGCCCAGGAAAATTTGAATCTAAATGTACCCAATTTCTCTCTTAAATGACCAAACTTCAGGGGAAAAAAAAGTTGTATGACTGGCACAAAAAGAAACAAATTATCAACAGCATGTATAGATAGATAATAAAAGTTCAACAAATATTCCACTGAATTTTGAGCTTCCCACAGGATCTACTCTATACTTATAAGGTTCTTACCATCAAGTACTCTCAGGTCTGAGGTTCTACAGGAAGTCAGGATGTTATTTCTACTTACAGGCAGATAACTTCAGGTAAGAGGCCTAAAGGGTAACCACACAGTTCACACACCTCAGGGCCCAACCTAGGCCTGACCCCTTCCTTTCCCTCAGCAGTGCCTTCCAGAGGCACACTGGAGCCTTTACCGAGAGCTCTATTCCTTCTGTGTCTAGAGATAAATTTACCAAATGGCTGCACATTCAAATCCCATATGTTGATCCAGTCCTTTCAAGTCAGATGGGTAAGGTAGACAGTGAAGACTACTCCTTAGGGCTTTCTCCGCCTTCCTCTACTCACCCACCCGCTTTGGAGAAACCATTGTTACGAGGGCAAACAGACTACTACCCAGGTCACTTTAGTAAAACACTTTTGTGATGTTGATAGACTAGGGTGGGAGGATGTGACATTTATTTCCCTTTTAGGAACTTTAATTTCATCACTATAATGGGGTAGGTGAAACACTCCAGAACGGCTAGCAGTTTGGAATCGAACTAAACCAGGATAAAACAAAAATGGAGGATAAACAATGTGTATGAGAAAAATTCCTTTTCCCACTTAGTTTTATGAAGATATCCATTTTGAATTCTACCAAATTATCTATATAGATTTAAAAAATCAGCTATAGAAGGCACAGGAAAATGGAAACAGTATTAACACTGGTTGAGAATTAGGTTCTAGGTCTCTCTCTATATATATCTTCAATTCTTAAAACAACCAAGGATTTAAAAATAGCTCCATCCCATACTAAAGATGAGGGCTTCCCTTGTGGCTCAGCTGGTAAAGAATCCACCTGCAATGTGGGAGACCTGGGTTCGATCACTGGGTTGGGAAGATCCCCTGGAGAAGGGAAAGGTTACACACTCCAGTATTCTGGCCTAGAGAACTCCATGGACTATCGACGGGGTCGCAGAGTCGGATATGACTGAACGAATTTCACTTCATGCTAAAAATGAAGATACTAAGGCTGAGATAACACAATCAAATTTACAAGGTTTGTGAAAAGTGAGGTTAACTTTAAATACAGGCCTGAACCCAGACTGTACCTTTAGACAACATAGTCTCCTAAAGTGCATGTATGTGCAAAGGAAACAAACACCTGTGGGTAAAGATATGTGATTTAATTTAATCCTCAAAAACAACTTTGAAGTGTCATTTTATCAATAAAGAAACAGGGTTAAAGTTTCATCATATGAAGTGCGTAATGACTCTATGTAGTTAGACAGAGATTATAAATATTATAAGATAGGATTCACACCATCAGTGCAATCACTGGCCCCAGACTAGCATCCATGTGATAAAGATATTTTCATTTTTCTTAAATCAGGGTAAACTTGAATGGTCAATGGGAATTGTAATTGAGGTACAGTGGGGTATTTTATGTAGAGAAAAACACAAGACCAGATTTATTTCATACAATGTTATTCACACATTTTTCATTTTCTAATTTATACATAATATACAAAGAAGTGAAGATAACATTATTTCATATGAACCAATAAGAGCCAGGACTTAGGACAAACTGGTCCAGAAACAATTCATATCAAAAGACAACCAAGAGTAAAGCCTAAGTGGTTCTGCCCAATTAAGTTTATTCTAAAATGTCATTTTCAGATTATACCAAAACCTCATGCCAATTTATTAAAAGGTGGAATCAGAGAGGTGGGCACCAAAAATGGCAGATCAAAATTTCTAGAGTAACAGATATTTTTCTACGATAAGCCCTAAAATACTGGGAAGACTGGGTTGTTAATAATGGGACACACAAGAACATCAGGAATCCAAGACAATGGTCCAGTTTCCCAATGTGCTGTTCTCTAGGACTTTCTAAATCTGCAGAAATAATTTGTCTGTGTGAACAGAAGTTAAAGAAAAACCAGGAATTTAACTGTGCAAATCCAGGAAAGTCACCACCAATCTCCAACAAGGACAACTTTGATCCTGAAACCATGAGCTGATACTGGGAACAAAAGTCCAACACAGGGCCAAGACGTTCTGAGGCTGGCAAAACAAAGCATGAAGGGCGGCAGGGAGCAGCCCTGTATGGAGGGAAAAAAGCTCTGCACTATGGCTGGGACATGCTGATGAACAAGTGTGACTGTGAGAAGGGACAGCAACAAATTTAATGGCCTCAACAAGGAATGTTGGGTTAGAAAACTAGAATAACTCAACATAAAACATGAAAAACTATGCCTGGCACCCCAAACTTCATGCCATTATTCTTAGGTTCATGATATGAACAGCTATGTGAAAAATCTTTATGTTCACTATTGTGCTCAGAAGACTGGTATTCTTCTGCAGACTTCCAATAAAAAAAATCCCTTACATATTCAATTGAAAGAGATAGCATGGTTCATTAGTTTTTAGCACTAAACATAAGTGGGTCAACATAAAAGTTTTATACAAAATACTGACTTCAACAAAATACAAAGCACTTTCTTTATCTTTCAGAAACTGAATATACAAAGCAAGTTTTTTTCCAAAATATTTTCATAGGCAAAGGATTAAAAACGATTTTAATTATACACATATGGTCACAATTTTGCCTTAAAAAGATTGTTGGGAAATGTACATAAGGCCGCTTGTAAATGTACATCATGTTACTGTTATGTCTTATGTCCAGAGAAAAAATGTTATCATACAGATTTGCTATTACTTGGGAGTAGGCTATTCAAAAATACAGTACTCTTCTGTACAAAGAAAAAAAGTCACATCACATTTAATAAGATGGAAAAAGCATTGGCCTCCATGGTAATCAAATATCTCAGTCCAATACTTTCTATTATGCACAATACCCTGACTTCTTGAAAGTGATCCAAATCCTAGCATGTCCATATTAACAGAGTCAACAATTATGTTATAAAACAAAATGTTTTTCACATTAATAAAAAGAAAGCTGGTTCATACTTCTGAAACCATATAAAGATAAAAAATTTTAAAAAATCACTTTCAATTTGGAGAAATCAATTTACATTATACAACACTATATGCCAGGTCAGAGGGCAGGGACATAAATGTACACCAAAATGCAAATGTTTCCCAAAGAGATAAAACAAATTCCATTTACAGCATTGAGGTTTACAAATATACACCTGTACAACCAAAGAAAGCATCACTACCAAATTAGCAAGGCTTTTATAATAAACATTGAAACAAGATTTGCTTTCCAAGTGTAAACTTACATCTATTACTACACACACAATGCATATATTTATAGGAAGCAAAAAAAAGCTATCTGAATATGTAATCATGCTTAAATGTTGAACTATCAAATTCACTTTTCAGTGGCCCCTTTTCACCTCTATCAGGTTCCTACTTTTTGACTCTACTATGAAAAAGCAAAATAAAGCTCAACGCTTTCTCAACATGTCCTTGTAATTCTATAAGCAAAATAATATACAAATCTCCACTCTTTCTCATCGCAAACCAAACTGAAAAGTTAAAATGGAACTTAACTTTTCGTTTAGTATACTTAACTGGATGGAAGTGTCACCATGATTCTGTTTTTTCTACCTCTTATAACAATTACATATGTAAGTATATACAATACTTCTGTACATTGCCAGAGACATTTTAGGGCAGTATTTGTATTAAAACCATATCCATTGTAAATACTATAAGTTCTTTCCCTTTCAAATCACTTAATTCTTATCTTACTGAGTTTTTATTTGCATGATAGTTTGTGAATTACCAAAATACAACTTAACTTTCTTTTTAAAATATTAATAATATTTATGCAGTTGATTGTTAATCTGTTATAAAAGGCTTCACACAAAGGACAAAAAAAAAATAAGGACTATATTTCTATATACATCTCTATAAACCTGTTGTGCTATGGGGTCCGTAGACCTACCAGACTGTAAGCCAGTTTATTAAAAGAATACTGTACTTTTTCCTTTAAAAACTATTTTTGTGACTTTACAAGGTAAAAATTTACAAAATATGTGACAGCATTTTTTGATACAGTTACATCATATACAGGCATTCTGTGCTTTGCCAGCAATCCAATCTGATAGGTCTCCACTCAGGGCTGAATATAATTTATAATTCACCACCCCCACCCCCAAATATACACAAGAACCTTAAAAAATTTACAAATGGATGAATAAAGTCAATAAATAGTTTTGTTTAAAAAAAATTTGAAGATTCATAGTTGAGTTGTGTTTTGATAATTCACAAAAGTAACGTTCCTCTCACATGGTTACATTATCTTCTTTTTTTCCTTTACAGCATTCCATTTGGTGGTCCTCCAATAGGCCCTAGATCTGGGCTATTTTTCAAATAATATTTTTCCAACTTGGCCAGTATATGCTTTCCATATGTATATTTGCGCAAAGTAGTAATATGAGGCCGAATCTGAAAAATAAATAATCTGCTTAGGAAATCTAAGTTATTTTAGTTTCTGATTCCTAAAAAAACTGCCCCCAAATCTGGGTGATTTGGAAGAAATAACTGAAATTTCAAAATTCAAATCCAAAGAAAGTCATTTGCAAAAGCAGTTCTGTTCCACTCTCTCCAAACTTCTACTTTCAAAACTGTCTAGTTAATAAAACAAGCCACTAGTCCCATAAACTATTACACATGCAAATAACAGAGAAACTCCAAACATATCAGAGAAGTATCGTTAATGAGCTGGTATATTCTTACGAAGTTTATGAGGGTAGAATTCTATAACTCTAAGCAACTACAAAAATTCAATACAAAATGGAGCAAAAGATATGGACAAGCAAGATGTCTGAGAGCTAATCCATTCAAGATATTCATTATCTCCCTAATGGTTTTAAAAACGCCTATGAGAAGAACCATAATCATTATCTTTCCATCTAGACTGGAAAAGATTTTATAAGCAATAACTGGTATTGATGAGATAACGATAAACAGGCAAGTATCAGACAGATATGCAAGCTTCTACAGAATTTTTGGAAAGCAACTTGGCAGAATCTATTAAAATGTAACATGTTCACATACTTTGTGCCACCAATTTCCACATCTAGGAATTTACCTTACAAAAACATTTAATTATGCAAAGATGTTGACATAAAACACTGCTAAGAACAGTTACTAAAAAATAAGTAATTGAAATGCCCTAAATATGAAATTGGTAAAATAAATAATGCAGTTAAAAAATAAGACTGAAAAAAGCGTTACAGGTATATAGTCTTAAACAGAAATATTAAATTTTAAAAACAAAATCAAGAGGGCAAAAATACCACCAGTGTTCATTTTAACAGTAAGTTTTCCTGTGGAAAGTAATGATTTCTTTGAGAATCATTAGACTGTAGAAAAAGGGTAGAGAGAAAACAGCTTAATTGATTAGGTAAAGGGAAAGACAATGCTACTGGCATGTAAATATGAGAAATGAATGTGATTTTATTGAGCTGATTACTTAACAAAAGCGTACAGCATACCTACATCTGCCAAAGGTTTTCCACTGATTTTAAAACTTTTTCTGTAGTTCAGACATTCTGAGGAAGTTAAAGGAGTAGCCTGAACAAACTGAATCATCTATTTTAAGTGCTACAAACGGTATTACCTTGTGCACGATTATCTTTCTCTGAGCAGGTTCAGCCATATCAATCATCTTCTGAACGACATAATTGGCATACTGGTCCTTCATCATGGTGTATAAGGCACTGTGAGGACCATCATTCTGGCAGCAAACTTCGTCAATCAGTAAAGCTCTCTCAGCACGGGAGGCATGAGTAACACACTTTTCTACTACATTGCTAAAAAATTAAAGTACATAAACAGAAAATTATTTTGCCATTTTTTTACAGAAAACTTTCTCTGGCTTCTGAAAGAACTTGTTCAGTGCATTGGAAGGCAGAAGAGTCAAAACAGGATTCTCTTGTAATTCTCCAGTTACTTCTAAAACAGAAATTAGTATTATGGAAGAATCCATATGGGACATCCCCAAGTTTAATGACAGGCCTCTTAAAATTATAACTAAATAATAATTAAACTATCGGGACTTCCCTGGCAGTCCAGTGGTTAAGACCCCGAGTTTCCAATGCAGGGGGCATGAGCTTGATCCCTAGTTGGGGAACTAAGAACCCATAGGCCATGTGGTATGGCCAAATAAAAACAAAGACCCATAATTCAAGGGGGGTGGAGGGGGGGAAACTAGGTCATTAATAAGGTCTGAGGCTTTCATGAGCATGATAAATTAAATGTGCAATTATCCACACATCTTGGGAAGCAATAATTTTCCAAACACAGATTTCAAAAATGGAATATATATGGGCAAACCAATTTGTCATGTAGATTCTTTAAGAACAAAAGCAACACTCTAGATGTACCTTTTGCCTCTACTAAAAAAAATGAGAGAGAGATTGTATTCCAATGTTACAGTCTATATGCATTTCTGTGCTTAAAAAGTCAGAGTGTTAAAAGACCTTTCCCTTGGAATGAGAAAATAATGCAATACCTGGCAAATTTGTGTTGACTCAAGGCTAACACCTTTCCTCGGATTTCAGAAACAATTTTGCTCTTGTCTTCAGGTCGACCATGTTCCAGTACATGCTGAATAACATAATTGCCATACTGATCCTGAATGCAGACATTTAAAAATTGATTTCCTTAAAGTCATTCATTAGGAATAACAGTAATTCTTTAAAAAGATGTTTATCATTTTTCTAAAAACCCAATAGTACAATCAAGAGAATACAAAAGGCTTTTGTTTCACTGTGTGTTAACTCCATAGTGTGTTAACAATAAATTATATTTCCTTTAAAAAATCAGAACCATTTGCAAAAGTATATAAAAATTTCAAATTTTAGGGGTTTTATACCTGTACCAACTGCTCCGTATGTTGGTGGAGTTCTTCTAAGATAGGTAAGGTCTGCTCTGCAGTGCAATGCTCCAGGATGCGCTGGATTACTCTGCAGCCATAAGGATGAGTTGAAAGTACAAATACCTTAAAACAATTAGAAGAAATAAACTTCCAATCTGTGACATTTTTGGAAAGACTGGTTTATACAGGTTTTTGGTAACATGTTGAGTTAATTTAACATTCAAGAACAGGGAATTTACTTTAATATGTCAACTGCCACGTTGGCAAAGACTGGGAAACAGGGTACTCAGGAGCTAACAGATATTTTGATCAAAAAGAACTTTAACAGAAGAAGGGAGGCATGTAATAATGACAAAGAATGGATGGTGGGGTAGCAGTAGTGCACACTGTAATCAGACACTATTATTATGTATTAGTTACTAATTTATATTTATTTTTCTGTCTTTTATTATGCAATCTTAAGTCTTCTTCTCTCCTTCCCCCTCTCCCAGGAAATTTGGAAAACACCGTCAGGCTTACAACGCTAAGAGCAGTTATCTTTATTTCTTAGAGTAATATAATTAAACTCATCTACATTTTTCAGCTGCAAAAATGAAGCTATCTATTGACTCACTCATACTCTATGAAAGAGGCAGAAATTAACACACATTCAGTATTTATCTCCTTGTATGAAAATACTAGGTATTATCCTGGGATTTATAAAAAAAAATGTGTTAACAAATTCTAACTAGAAGACAAAAGTCAAACTCACTTGTCCTTTGAAAGCATCAATGATGAACTGCAGTGACTGTGGCTGAACACATTCAATACACTTTTGTACAACGTGGTTTCCATTTTGATCTTTCACACATTTGAGTACATGACCATCGAGCTCCTTTACCATTTCACTCTGCAAAAGAGAAGACATTTAAATTACCTTACCAAACAACATAAAAGGAGTAAAAGCACTGAGATGGGAACAAAAGTATATTCAAAAATTTGTTTACAATTAATTCTCAAGTGTTTTAATAAGCAGAAGCCACTAAAGGTCAGAATTACTAAAATATTTTGAATTATAATGTAAATATTTGCTAAAATATAACCTAGTGATACTCAATCTGCTATATTTAAACTGTCTTCACTGTATATATCTTCTACTCGTCTTTCTCAGCTGACAACTAATATAATGATGTCAGAATTCTATGCTTTTCTCTACTAAGCACACCCCTTCCCCCAAATTATCATCATCATAATTTTTTTGCCTGTGCTATGCAGCATGCAGTATCTTAGTTCCTTAACCAGGGGCAAACCTGTGCCCCCTGCAGTGGCGGCGTGGCATCCTAACCACTGTACTGCCAGGGAATTTCCACAAGTAGTTATTATTGATGGGTATTTGAGATTATCAAGCACATGGAAAAGGGTAAGGAGCTGAGTAAGCCCTGAAGAGCAGTGTAATTTTCATGTAATATATCAATTATGAAACATTATTATTGACCATTTTTATTCTTCTTTTTAATAATCTTATAATAAAGAACTTGATTCAGGGAATTCCCTGGTGGTCCAGTTTTTAGGACTCTTCACTTCTGTTGCTGGGGACCTAGGCTCTCCCTAGTGGGGAACTAAGACCCTTCAAGCTACACAATTCCGGGGGCCGGGGCTGGGGTTGGGGAGGGGGGTGGGGAGCGGTAGCAGCTCATGCACGCAAATGGGTGGGCACAGGACCAGCCACAACTTGATTCTTTTCCTTTAACATTTTATACCTTCTTCAGGGACAGATTCTCAGGAGATTTTAGATCTTTACTCATTTAATGGGCAAAGATGACATTTTTCTATTTATATTTGATTTATAAGCTCAGACAGTAAAGCATTTGCCTGCAATGTGGAAGACCAGGATTCGATCCCTGGGTCAGGAAGATCCCCTGGAGAAGGAAATAGCAACCCACTCCAGTATTCTTGCTGGGAAAATTCCATGGATGGAGAAGCCTGGTGGGCTACAGTCCATGGGGTCGCAAAAAGTTGGACAGGACTGAGCGACTTTACTTGCACTTTTCAATAATAAGGTTAAACCTTCTTACAGTGCATTTTCTTTTAACTATTTTTCCCACAAAATTCTAAGACTTCATTAACACACATCTTAATCCTTAGGGAAAAAATGTAAGTAACCACACAATAATCTGTGTACCTAATCAGTGTAATAGGAAATAGGATTGTGAAGAAATGGAGTACACCTAGTGTAAAGATATTCATTTTTTTTTTCATTTGACAGGCTGCATGGCAAGTGAGTTTTTAGCTACCCGACCAGGAACTGAAACTACTGTCCCCTGCAGTGGAAGCAGAGTCCTAAACACTGAACCACCAGGGAATTCCCAGTATTCATATTTAAAATTTCTCTCACCCAAAAAATCTCAGTTGTATTCTGACAGAGGAATCCTTGAATTCAAGATATTACACAAATGTTTAGTTAAAAGAGGACTAAATTACAAAAGCAAATGTACTAAATAATCCAAACAGGAGGGAATTCTCTGGCGGTTCAGAGGTTAGGACTCTGCACTCTCACTGCCGGGGGCTTGGGTTTGATCCCTTGCTGGGGACCTACAATCCTGCAAACCATGCAGAGTGGACCAAAAAAAAAAAAAAAATCCAAACAGAGAATGTAACACCATTATTCATGAACTGGTTCATCTAAAGCTTACTCCCAATGCTTTATATTTTCAAATATTAAAGAGACACAAAATATCATTTTTTTAAGAAAGAATTCGAAAATTTTATTCAAGGAAAACTTGAGGATTATAACCTGGGAAGAGCATCTCAGAAAGCTCTGAAACTGTTTCCAAAATATCTTTACCAGTCTGAGAGTTAAGAGCAGAGAAGCTCTTAAGTATCTATACAAACTACTGATCTTTCTCCATTATGACACAACTTCAATGACACTAAAGCTCGGGATTTCCTCAAGAGGAATAATGTTATTTTCTCACAAGATGTTCATTGTTGTGATTACATACATATATACATACATATTATTGTTTTTAATTCTGGAATTTGTTGTATGTGTGTAGCTTGAGAGTCAAACTTTCTAAACTTACTAATTACCAATACCTTTTAAGAACTAATTGTTTTCTTCACTCACTGTATTTCACTGTAATATATAAACCAGTTATATACAAAACAGTATCTATGGCAGAGGTTATAAATTTTATTTTAAAAGTCTTTTAATGCATAAACCATATTAATTAATTAGTGATGCTTCACAATGTAAAAAATCTAGTTGATTAGCAATTCTTCTCATCTCCTACTCTCCTTAATTATCCTTGTCTATTTAAAATTAAAACATTTATTTTGGGGACTTCCCTGGCGGTCCAGTACTTAAGACTGCCTTCCAATGCAGGGAGTGAGTTCGATCCCTAGTTGGGGAGCTAAGATCACACATGACTCGTGGCCAAAAAAACCCAAAACATAACAGAAACAACACTGCAACAAATTCAAGAAAGACTTTAAAAATACTCCACATCAAAAAAATTTAATTTATTTTGATCATTTACAAAAAAATTCGTATGATACATAATTGGAATTGCACTAATCCTTTTTTAACTTAAACTATTTAACTCTTTAAGCTTAAAATACTTAGATCTTTCCATCCTAGAATATGGTATATTTCCCATTTAATTAATTTATATGTGCTCTCCTTCTTTTAAAGAACTGTAAATCTTCTTAAGAGGATGCTTAGGCTACTTTTCCTGTTGAGTGAAACATTTAAAACTCTGTATATACTTTTTTCTCCCCGCTTTAGCCATGCTGCATGGCTTATGGGACCTTGGTTCCTCAACCAGGGACTGAATCTGCACACTTGGCAGGGAAAGCATGGAGTTCTAACCACTGTACCGCCAGGCAATTTCCTGTAAATACATTTTTAACTGGCATACAGATATGCAAATGGTTGTTAAAATATTCATTCTTATTAACAGAAATATAAATGTAATCCAAATAAACACTGGAAATAGTAAAATGTACCCCTTATACTATAGAAAATCAAATGAATAAATGGTAGCAGAAACATCTACCACCTAGTACTTGACACATAGTAGATACTCAAATATTTTCACTTAGAAAAGATGCTGAAGAACTAAACAGAAGACAGGTCAAAGATCTGTTGTATAATTTTTAATTAATAATGTATGATTTAAGATAGATTCTTAAAAATACTTTAGTCTGTGGAAATATTTAACATTTCACTCCAAGATTACTGTAAGATAAAACTTAAAAACTGGATAAAATAATACAAAAATTTTGTCTTAACTTACAATTACCTGCTGGTCAGACGAAATAGACTCTAATGCCTTCTGAATAACACGGCAGCCATACATCTGCAATGCTAAGGGTAGAACATGACCACGAATACGAGTAGCTAGGGCTAATTTTTGATCCAAACTCCCAAACTGATAGGAAAAGAAAAAGATTTTATTATTGTTCTGTTAACTTGAATAACTCACTCTTTTCAGTCTATTGAATCTATTTTTAAATATTACATTTCGCAAGTAGGTATCGAGAAAGCATTTAGGTATTAAACTTCTCATTTAGTGTAAAGACCATACACTTAAAAAATAAATATATACCATAAAATATAACATTTTAACCATAAAATACAACATTTTGACTTCAGTGGCACTGACTATATTCTTACCATGTGCAATAGTCAACACAATTTGATTCCAAATCTTTTCCATTGCCTCAAACACAAACACTATACTCATTAAACAATAACCCCACTTTTTCCCCTACCGGTCTACTAGTAGAATAGTAGGCCCTAGTCGACTTTATGTCTCTGTGAATTTGTCTATTTTAGGTATTTCACATAAGTGGAACCTTATAATGTTTGTCCTCTGTACCTGGCTTATTTCACTTAGTTTCATCCATGAGTAAGCATGTATGAAAAGCTTCATTCCTTCTTCTGGCTGAACAATATTCTACTGTATGTATATACCACATTTTGTTTATACATTTGTCTGTCAGGCATTTTTTGACTGTTTCCACGTTTAGACTACTGTGAATAATGCTGAAATGAACACTAGCTCATTTAAGTGCTTGTTTTCAATACTTCTGAGTATATACCTAGAATGGAATTGCTGGGCTATATCATAATTTTATGTTTAGTTTTTTAAGGAACTGCCAAACTGTCTTCCACAGCGGCTGAACCATTTTACATTCCCATCAACAACGTATAAGAGTTCTAATTTCTCCACACCTTCACCAACATTTATTGTTCTCTATATTTTAAAATACCACCATCCTAGTAGACATAAAAAGGAACTAGCTATGGTTTTGATTTGCGTCTCCCTAATGAATAAGGGTGTTGAGCTTTTTTTCATGTGCACATTTGAGTATCTTTCTTGGAGAAATGTCTGTTCAAGTCCTCTGCCCCCTTTTTAAACCGAGCTGTCTTTTTGTTGTTGAATTTCATACATTCTAGATATAGAATCTGTACATATTTTCTCCCAAGTATATATTCTTATATGAAAATAAACTTTACATGAAGAATAAACTTTCAGAGCTTTTCTAAGCATTCAGCATGAACAAACATGAATGCATGCTTACCTCAAAAAATTTCTGTATGACATAGTTGCCAAAAACATCTGTCATTAATTGATAGGCTGCTTGTAGAATTTCATTAAAAACCATCTGTCGCTCAGCTGGAGTAGCTCTCTCTAGCTTTTGCTGTATGAATCTATGTGGGAAACATTTTAATGCCATGACAGTATATTAATAATAAGCTCCTACAAAATCCATGTCTGATTTGAATATAACACACCCCAACATATATCCATATAAAGTCATTTCTAGAAACAGTATTAATACATTCTATACATTTAAAATAAAAAGAACAAAAGTTATGAAGCATATCTTTGTTGACACCTTAATTTAAAACTTCTAGTCAGACTTGCAAAAATCTGGACACATGGATGTTTAATGCTTAAGTTAGTTCTGGTTGTATTGTAATCAATAAAAAAAACTACAAAGATATTACTGATCATTCATTTATTTTAATAATTATATTACTGAGATATCTCAAATTTAGCAAATGTGTTAGAATTTGAATACTATTTTCTCTTCTGTGTATTATCTTGAGAACACTAATTTGCATGTACTTCAAGTATTATAGTACACACATATCCTGTTTAATGTAAAGGAACACAAAGCATTTAACTTTGTTTTAAACATTTTTTTAGACAAGTATACACATCAGGGACACAAGTCCATAAATGTAGTTCAGAGCACTATTTTCAAAAGGTAGTTTAAAGAAATTAAATATATTCAGTCAATATAATAAAAATCCAACAAAAGAACATTACTATCTTTTATTATAGAAAACTGAAGAACCATAAAAAATACATATTTGTATTTTTATAGTTTACCCTCATATGAAAGAAAAATCCATATTGGATATTTATTTTTTAAACAATTCCAATTTTTACACAGGTTAAATAATCCTGGTCAAGAAAAATCTTGGCTCTTTCAAAGCAAAAATGCAGTGGAAAGTATCATAAATCATAATCACCTACCTAGAACCATGCTGGTCTTGAGAAAACTCAACTATGTGTCCAATCAAGTCTCTAAGTTGAAGGTTTGGGAAGCGGTTGTTTCTGAAATCTTCTAATAATCTACTTCGGCCAGAAGGCATAATATCAGACCTATTATACCGAAGCCGAGAAGGAGGAAAGAGCTGGCTGCTGGAGCTAAATAGACTGGAAGTGCCTGAAGCACTTCGGTATTTTGCTTCTGCTCCAGGTGCTGCAGAGATATATCGACCACTACCATTTGTCAGTCCTCCTACAACAAAGCAACTGTGGTCAGCAAATATTTTCAACAAAGTCATTCCTTAAGTCAGTCACTTAAACTAAAAAGGCAGTCAATAAAGAAATATTCATCCTACTAATTCCTATTGGTATAACAGAAAATTAAAGTTGAAGGAGAACTCTCACACATTTACTTAATATGTGTGGCTATAATATATGGGGGAAAAAGAGACTAGAAAACATGGGCAAAAAAAAACAAAAAAACAAACCAATCCTGTAGTTGTTCTTGGCAGTTTAGTTTAAAAACATCTAACATCATACACAAAACCTATATTTGTTTTTGGAAGCCTAGTTTAAAACATAATTACAACAACTAATGTCATATATAGTAGTGTCAATACCAGAATATTGAAACCACTAACAAAATTTTCAGTTATTAATAAACAAGTTACAGATAGCTATAGTCAACTCAGATTTCAAGTCACTAAAATAAAGGCTGATTGAAATTTACCCACAATGTTAATGGAATACCAACAACTAAATCTACTTTTTTGGAATACATAAAAATTTATTAAGTCATATACACTTGTATATAAAGAAAAATGATTTCTCAGTTAACCTAATTAAACTTCAAACTTAAAAAACCCACAACATAATAAAGCTAAATTACAAACTAATTATTAAAATTTTTAATTTAAACACTCTCCATAAAACACTACTGTTTTACAGATGAAAAATAGGAGCAGTAAACATATTTATTATTTCTAGAGTTTTTATGTCAGTCATTTAAAACAAATGAATAAAAAACCTCTTAAGTTAACTTATATCCTATTCCAAAGAATACTAAAGGGCAGTTGATAAAAACAAAAATACACAGAAGCAGGTAACTGTTCTTACGACAAATAACCACTTAAAAGTACTTGACAGTGTCCTTTTAAAAAAGAAAAATGTATAGAAAATTGGAAAATGCATACTTAGCAGTTCAGATAAACAAAATCCACTGTCAGCTTTATACTACTGCATATCACTTCTATTTAGTGTTGTAGGTTCAATCCAGGCCAGAGTACAATGGTGCCAAGGACACACTGTCAGTGCAAAGTCACAGAAAGGCACTGAAGGCCAAAAAGATTTACAGGGACAAGGAGCGCTAAGAGTTATAATCCTGGAGAGTGAAGTGGGTTAGAAAATTCCTCTTTAACTTTCAGTTTCCACTATTCTAGCTTTAATTTTCTTCATTAAATTTCCCATCATCCAGGATATTATACACATTCATTATTTATTTGAATCCTCGGCCCCATTTCCAATGTCAAGTGCTACAGGGCTATATTCACCTATATGCTAGATACCTCATGCCTAAAACAGCATCTGATGCATGGTGAGTACACACATATTTGTGTACTACAATATTTAATGTAGCATCAACTGCCTATGGTCTAGTTCTGTAATACCTTAAAAGTGTGTAATTTTATACACCAAAGTCATTAACATCAAATTCTCAAGTTCATTCCAGTTCTACCATAAATTTGTGCTCATATATACTCTAAAAAGGAAAAGAATTCAGTGTTAACACTGTCACGACCTTTTCACTACTATTAATCCTTCCAGCTTCCTATTTTAATCTGTTTATAGTACTACTGATTGTTCACAGCAATAACTGATCATTAGCCCATTTGAGTCTCTTAACAATTCTTTAACCTTTTCATAGGGAAGGGGTAGTCTGCTTATCATTCCAACTTGTTTTTGTAAACAATGATTATGTCTTCCCATTCAAAGGCTACCGTGACGTCATTTTATACTAAAATCCTACAGCATCCTGCTAGATAGAGTACCTGCTCTACATTCTTCAGCTTACTTTTCAAACCTGTATTCCAAACCTGTTTTTCACATAGATTTCCTAACAGTACCCTAATGTTCAATTCTCTCCTTCTTACTCATTACTATGTCTGTACCACTGCTTATCAGTACCTGAAACATAAGGCCTAATCCTACCTCTTTATTTTTAATGAACTAAAGATTTCAATAGCAAATTCAAAACACATATTTATCCCAGAAAATGATAACTTTATTTAGTACCTTCCAAACAGTCCTATCAATATCTAATACGAATTCCTCCCGTGTCTAGATATTTCTTGATTATATTCTATGAGCTCCTAATACATCAAACTCCTGATGTACTCTTTGACAACATAAAATGTCTAGGAATGCCAAACTGCTTTGAGCTTTAAAAATCTTGGAATTTCAGTTCTAAACTAACTATAATTAGCATTTTCATATATAAAGTTGAAAAATTAATTTCACAAAGGGTCAAGATGCCTTTGTTTCTTTACAAAGTAATTAAATATAAGCATTTAAACTCAATTTAAAATATATGTTAAACATTTAAAATGTGGTTGCTTTTAGGGAATTCCCTGCTGATCCAGTGGTTAGGATTCCACGTTTTCACTGCCAAGGGCCAGGGTTCAATCCCTGATCAGGAAACTAAGATCCCACAAGCCATGCAACCAAAAAAAAAAAAAAAGTAAAAAAAAAGATGGGGCAGGGGCAAATTAAACACTGAAAGCATTATCATCAAAAACATAGTATGAAATTTAGGGACATTTTACAAAACTGGCCTATACCTTTAAAAAATGTCAAGGTCATAAAAGACTGAGAAATAGTTCAAGATTAAATTTTTAGAATACACACACATACGTGGATATGTTTATGAGTAAGGGACATTGTGTCTGCAACTTCCTTTCCAAAATATCAGGAAAAAAATGGGTGTGAAGGGACACATAATGCAGAGGGGGATAGAACAGAGGGAAAGAACAATAAAGCAAATTCACTTATTTGGAAAATCTGGGATAAACTAGATTTTTAAAAAACTGTTAATGACTTTAAGTCTGAAATCATTTCAAAATTATTAAAAGCAAACAAATTGGTCATTTATATTCATACCATTGCTGCTGCTCCTGTTTGGTTGCTAAGTCATGTCCAATTCTTTTGCAACCTGACAGACTGTAGCCTGCCAGGCTCCTCTGTCCATGGGATTTCCCAGGTAAGCAAACTGGAATGGGTTGCCATTTCCTTCTCCAGGGGATCTCCCCGACCCAGGAACTGAACTCAAGTTTCCTGCTGGGTAGGTGGATTCTTTACCACTGAGCCATTTGGGAAAGCCCACCATACTATTGCTACTGGTCATCTAAAAGCAGATGTGTTCTCCACCAAATGTGTTAAAGGGATAACACTCCCTTCAATTTATCACTGATCTCACCCCTAACATTTATGACTCCTTAATCACTAGCTTAATAAAGACATATGGGACAGGGAGAGCTGTGCTATTAATTTCACAGATAAAGTCACTATGGTCCAAAAGTGATGTGACATGTAGCCAGTCAGCCAGGACTCTTAGGCCAGAGGTTATCACACAGTTGTATGCTGCCCCTTATATGCTATTTACACAGGTACCTATCAAGCTCATTCATGACAACTGAATGAAGGCAAACACCTAATAACTATACTTATACTAGCAAAAGTAGTATGATTTTATAAGTTTTCATTAATTTCCTTGAGAAGGCCACTGTTTTAAAATCCTTCCCTATTAAATATCAGACAGCAAAAAGATCTTAAGATACTGACAAAAAGACAGGGGAGAAAAATATACAACTGAAACCACCACAAAATAAATCTCATTTTCCACCTCTAAAAAGGCAGCTCCTGAACCTATTATTTTTTTCTGTTTTTTAAAAAACATAGATTCTTGAATCTTTCCCAGTAGATAGCTTTTATTTCAAAAAAAGAAAAAAGGTCTACTTGAAGATTATTCTGATAGAAGTTTGGAGACTAATGGATTAGAATCAAGATAAATTAAGGTTTCATTTTGGATTCAGGCTGTCAACTATTAATTTTGAAAAAAAAACAAAAAAACAAAAAAACAAAAAGCTAATTCAACTAGAAGATCTGGGGCCCTGAAAAGGGTACAACTATATACAGGCTTACTAGGCAGGGTCTTTTTCAGAAATTAAGGCTCTGGAAAGCTCAAGAAGGATAAGATGATAATGAAAGATGACTAGTTAGTTGGAATAGGTAAATAATAAAGAATGCATAGCTTGAAAAAGTCTAAAATGAAGATGTCTATTTCACTTTAAGGTATTACTTTTAATTACTTCTAACGCATAGCTGATCCACTTAGTACTTTCCTAGACTCTAGCAGGAAAAAGACTTTAGAGCAGAGCTTCTCAATACAAACATAAATCACTTCAGGACATTGGCTACACATTTCTAATAATACACATCAGTCAGACCTTTATCCTGTGTTCTGGTATACTGTCTTAAACAGGTTTTCTATGTTCAATACAATCAGCTTTTTCACCTATTTTAGAAAGCCCGTTTAATGATTTCATATTCAGAGCTGACATTACACACTAGATCCTAAGGATCCACAGCATGTAGTATTATTTTGTTGAGAAACAAAAAGGCAGCTATCTGTGAGCCCCATTCAACCTGGATCTGCACATTAATACAGACTTATTATTGTCCTGTACACAGTAACTCTTTTAGAGATAGTGAACTCTTGTTGAGCATTCTTAACTGGACACCGATAAAGTATAGACTCTACATAAAATGTTATATCGTATTGAACTGTATTTGCCAGTGTGTACTATTTTGTTTTAAGCCACTTAGTTGCAGTAATTTGCAGCCTCAGAACAAAAATATTATCTCCATTTTACTTGTGAAACAATAGGCTTAGAGAAGCTAAATCCTCATTTAAGGATGCACAGCTAATAATTACAATGAGTTTTTTAAAACTACATTTGAATAATTCACTTAAAGCTTTCAGTTATATTCTGCTAGAAACTATTATAATATTTATACTTACATATAAATATTATATTCTGCTATAAACTATAAATAAACTATTATATCTGAATAATTCACTTAAAGCTTTCAGTAATATTTTGCCTCATGAAGAATGTTTAATGCCAAATACCGTTCATAAATCTAGGATATGTTTAAAGTTACATGAGGAAATAAACCATGCAAATTTTTTAACTA